CTACGTGACTTTACCGAAAAAAACCCAAGAATATGAATTCTTGCAGTCACGAAAGCTTCAAATCTAAAACTTTGCTAAAACCATTCCCGGCGTCGGGGCCGTCCATAAATGACGTCACGCGATTTTGGACGATTTTTAACCCCCCCCCCCACCTTTGTCACGCGGCGTCACAAAAAGTAAACCCCCCCCTCAAATATGACGTCACGAAGCTCTGCCACCCCCCCCCGCCGCCCCCCCAAAAAATAAAACATGCTTCAAATCGCTTTAAACGATTGTCATTGTAGTGCGTATTTAATGTGGCTCTGCACTCTGATGTTGTAGGAGAAAACATTTATTAAAAAGTCTATTTAATTAAGTAGAACGTGTTGTCTATATTTATTTAAAGTTGCGCATTTTGATGTGACGTCACATTTCTCACCCCCCCCCCCCCCCCCATCGTCACGCATCGTCACAAACGTCTGACGCCCCCCCCTCCCCCCAGGTGCGTGACGTCATTTATGGACGGCCCCTTAGTACCAAGAAGCACTCAAAACTCGTCGCAATCACACACCCCCCCCCCCCCTACCAAAAGCCATAGTTAAAAATACCTAAAACATCACCCCCAATGTGTTGGAGCAAATGGCAAGCGACTTGTGGGGACGGTGGCTCCGAGCGAGCCTCCCGTGTCGAGTGCGATGGTGGCACGTGGCACCGCGACGTGGGACACGTGGCAGGGCGGTGACGCGTCCCACGTGGGCGGTGACGCGTCCCACGTGGGCGGAGGCCGGGCGACGGTTGGGATCGCAGCCCGCACAGAGCGCCAGGACGCAGAGCGAGCAGCAACAACAAAAATACCCCCCCCACCACCAAACTCCCCCCCCCCACACCTCAACTCCCCCACCCCTCAACTCCCACCCCCCCATTCCTCCCCCCCAACTCCCACCCCTCAACTCCCCCCCCAACTCCCCCCCCCCAACTCCAACCTTCCAAACTCTCTCACCCGTCCGAACTCCCCCACCCCACCTCAAGTCCCCCCCCACCAACTCCTCCACCCACCCCCCAACTGCCCCTCCTCAACTCCCCCCCCCCCAATCTCCCCTCCCCCCTTCAATTCCCACCCCCCCCCAACTCCCCCCCACCTCCTCAACTCCCCCCCCTCCCCCACCCCCCCAACTCCTAACTCCCCCCCCTCAACTACCCCACCCCCCCACTCACCCAGATCCCCCACCCCCCCAAACTCCCCCCCCCCTCAACCCCTCCCCCAACTCCCCCACACCCCCTCAACTCCCCCCCCTCTACTCCCACACCCCCAAATGATAGTTCAACGAAGTTGCAGCTTATCGCGTGGAAGTGTACAGCAGGCCACAGACTCTGAGCGCGCGGTGACGATGTTCATTCTCGATGTGGAGGAGAAAACCCAGAAGGACCCGGAGAAAAATCCACGCGACCACGTGGAGAGATAGAGAGACAGAGTGACGCGCAAACTCCACATACACAGCAGGCGTCAGGGTCCGGATCGAGCCCACGACCTCCTGTATACCAGGCGAGGTAGTTAACATCTCCCAGCCACCGCGGCCACCCCATTGAATGATGGTCACAGCGCATCCAGCCAACTGAGAAAGCGCGCGGTGGCCGGAGCGCCTTCGCAGCGGCGGCATGTGCGACGCTTGCGTCGAATTTCTTCCGCGCACCGCGACATCGCAGAGGTCGCAAACAGGGGTTTGATTCCCTACCCGTACCCATACCCGGCCGCACCAGGGTCGCAAACGAGTACCTGTACCCGGCCGTACCCGTACCCTACCCGTACCCGGCCGGGTACGGGTATTGGGTACCTGATTGCGACCTCTGGGATGAAGCCATGTTGCAGGCGCGGGTGGGTTGATTCTAGGAACTTGAATTGTGAGAAGAGGCAAGACGTTGGGAAATGAGTGACAAACAGTTACTCACCAGTGACTCACGGTCTACCCGTACCCGTACCCGGCCGCACCAGGGTCGCAAACGGGTACGCGTACCCGTACCCGGCCGGGTACGGGTAGCCGGGTATCGGGTAGGGTACGGGTATCGGGTACCCGGTTGCGACCTCTGCGATATCGCCAGCCGCGCTCCGATCGGAGGCTGCGCGCGGGGTGAGGCCAACCAACTGGCATCACGGCACGAGACGGATCCGTCCGTGGCAGGGGATATCGCGGAAGCACTTCTGACATCTCGTCAAGTGGCCGCCTATCCACACCAGAGGGGGGGGGGGGGTGGGCAGCACTTTCCCGGCTGCCCGGCCACGTGGTTGCGATGATCGTCGCGTGCCATTCAGAGAGACATTTCTCATTTCGCAAGGCTGGAATTTTAGCCGAATTAAGTGCGGAATTAAAACGTCACGTGCGGGGGTTGTTGTTGTTTTTGTGCGTTTGTGTGCAGTCATTGGTGACCACACTGAGATGACCAGCTGACTATACGACAGCTGACAAACCGACTAAAACTCAGAATCTCGGCGGTGACAGCTCTCCCTTCGCCCCCGCCCCCCGAGACTCTCAAACGTCAACACGACCTTCCTACATCGTAGTGGATGTAGAGACGCAATGGATGGAGATAAGCTTTCCACACGAGACATCGCGCCCACCAAGGATCAAGCCCTGTCGAACGCCTTCTCTCCATCCCGTGTCTAGAGCGGATGCAGAAAGCTTTCCCCCGGTAGCAACTATCTCTCGCATTTACTGGGGTCCTGATGTTATCCACCAAGTCCCTATCCGATTAGTTAGCTATGTACGGTGCGAAAGAAGTTCAACGTACATACGTACGTACATTCCAGGACCGTGATATTCTCAGTGCATCGGTAATTGGCCCAGAATTGTTAGTAAACTCCATCAGAATCACAACCGTTATTTAGACTTGGAGGAATCCGATGAGCTATGAAGTTCATTTTTCACAAATGTCCAAACTCTGGACATTGGCCATTTTCACCCTATAGAAAAACATCAATCACCACAACGTTGACTTGGAGATCTCCCTCTCAACGCACAGACCTTTACGCGACCTGACGCTCATCGACTAACGGCGCTGAGCGCATTTACGAACGCCGGGTGGACGGAGAAGCGGCGAGGGGGAGATTTAAGAAACTTGCCGCGCCGGGAGATCGAATACGACCGGCGACCTCTGGATTGGAAGTCAGGGGCGCTCACCACTGCACCGTGCAGTCATCCCCGTGTCGTGTCGTACATTTGTTCCATAACTGCTCAGTTTCAATCGCGATTACGTTAAAATCCTTTCCTGTGTCTGCGTTCCGATATTTCAAACGAGATTTCACCTCGATTCGTGACTTAGCTCGCCTAGATCTAAAAAAATAAACAACGCAAAGCTTGCCCATTGCTCTCTTAACCGTTTGCTGGATGTGTGTCGTAAATTGAACGCGTGATCGTGAACGGCATCTAATGAGGTCAAAAGTCCCACGAAATGAATGCCACGAGTTCAAGGCGGTCATGTGATCCGTAGCCAAGAGCTGATTGGAGGCTATCATGGCAACCACATGCCAAGGTTGAGTTGTCAGGAATCGTGAAGACGTGACATGAACTGGAATTGAAAACATTTTAAATTGGCAATTGCTGGTCAATACCCCCCCCCCCCCTCCCAGAATGATCATCTTACAGTGCACCGAATTCTTAAGGCATAGGCGTAGAAAGTCAGTGCCAGTGTGTTATTGTGAGCGTTCAGAGCCACCCCATCAATCACCGTCAAAAAATGTGGAAACTCTGAGTTTCGGCCAATTCAGCAGCAGCAGCAGAAAAAGAAACATGTTATTGGCGTTCGGGTCGGTGGTGGTGGAGGGGGTGGAGAGGGGGCCTACGATTAATGAAGCTGAAGCCGAACGGAGATTTGTTTTAGTTTTTTACACTCGAGCACAAAGAGTCACGGGTGGTAGCGTGGAGGCTGGAGATGAGGCGACGTCACAAAGCCGTGGCCCTGATTGAATTCCTGTCGCCCTTGGCAACCGCAGCGCACGTGCGGTGACGTTCATCCGCCAGTCGTTTCCGTTTCCTCAGCTCGCCATTTATTTTTTGGTCATTTCCCCCCCCCCTCTCTCCTAATTAAAACTCAATTAAAACATTTTATTTGTATTTTACTAGGTAAGGCCCACTGAGTTATACAGCTCTTTTTCAGAAGCGACCTGGCCACAATTAATAGCTCAACGTGGAAATTTATAGCAGCCAAAGACTCTAAACGCGCTTTTCTAAATGTGGAGGGAAACATTCGGAGGATCCGGAAGGAAAAAAAAAACAATCCACGTGATCACGGGGAGAGCGAGATAGAACACGCAAATTCAAAATATACAGGCGTTGTGTGGGGTCGGGATCGAACCCACGACCTCCTGCCTACCAGGCGAGGTAGCTAACATCTCCGAAGCCACCGCGATTACCGCGCCGTGCTGCCGGCGTTGGTGTCATGGGACGAGGCTTCCGTTCGTGCGCGACCCATCGCGCTCACGGAGAGAGGACCCCGTCGCGTGACCTCCGCTCCACGCACAGCGGAGAGTGGCAGCGAGGCCCTCCCGGCCGTCGCGCCGACACGAGAGGAAGTCTCGTCGCGTGACAGTCAAAACCGATCGTCTCGATTCTCACCGACGGGGAATTTTGTTTTTTGTTTTGGCCAAATTGATCGCCAGGAACAAACGTAATGCGACGGGGCCTGTTTCGTTTGCTGTTTGTTTGTTTGTTGTGCAGTCATTGGTGACCGGGTTGACACACATTCCATTTTTACCTCTTTATCGCAAACCCCCAACCACCACACCGCCCACACCGCCCCCCAAACCACAATCAAACGCCTCCCCGCCAACTCGAAAACCTGCAATTCACCTGCCGGTCAGCTGCCAAAAAAAATTTGACGCTGACCGCGCCGTTTAAACCCCCCCCCCCCCAAACCCCCGCTGCCACTTGGCTCATTTACGGAAAAACTCCTGGATGGGCCCAGGGAGGTACTTGAGGAAGGCTTCGAAGAGGCTTTCCTCAGGGCCCTCGTCGGAAGCGTCCCCGCACCCGGGAGGGATGGCCCGCTTGGGGCGGGTGAGGCTGCCCTCGGATCCGGCCACACCGCCGGAAACGCCGCCACCGCCGCCGCCGCCGCCGCCTCCCCCGCTGCACGCGGCCTCCATCGCCGCTTTGGCCTCGGCCTCCCGCTCCTCGCGCCGCTTGAGGCCGTACTGCGCACGGCAACGGGCCGGTGGGATGGGAGGGACGGGAGGGAGGGAGGGGAGGGAGGGCACAACAACGGACACCAGCGCTGACAGGGTCCATTTTTTACACTCGCACATCCGAGCCGTGCCGGCACGGGACCAGCACAGCACGTGTGTTTTTTTTTTCCACTGGCATTTAGCCCAGCTGAGCCGAGCCCCATGTCGGGGCTGTCGTGGTTAGCGCTCTGCAGCGTTACGAAGCCGGCGACACGAGTTTGATTCGCGCTCACGGCCACAAACACCGGTGACGATTACACGAACCGGTCCTGGGCCTCCTCCCCTAGGTCGACTCAGCGTCAAATGAGTACCTGGATGCAGTGTGTAAACAAGGCGGTCGGCCGTGGTGCTGGCCACCCACCCCTTCGTGCGCCGTTCTGGCCTTAATAGGTGCTCGCTAACAGCACTTGCCCCAACAGTATTTCAAGGCTATGCGGGGGGTCTTTGTCTTTGTGTGTGCGAATGTGTGTGTGGTCTCCTCGCACAAGAAATCAGACACTCACATCCAAATGTTTCTACGGCCCTTTCAAAGTGCATATTACCCTTTGGGAAATGATCAAATATACGTGTTTAATCACTGTGTAACAAAAAAAATACATTTTGTTCCTGGGTAGTAAGTGTTATTTTATAATTGCTTATGCCTCAAAAGTATATAAAATGGCTATTATACACTTACTAACCAGGAACAAAAATCGTGTTACATAGTATATCATTATTACGTTCCATTATTCGTCAATCGATCATTGATGAAGGCTTCCTCGTGCCGTGTTGGTCAATGTATAGTGTATAGTGTAGTGTATAGTGTAGTGTATAGTAGTATATAGTAGTGTATAGTGTAGTGTATAGTAGTGTATAGTGTATAGTAGTGTATAGTGTATAGTAGTGTAGTGTATAGTAGTGTATAGTAGTGTAGTGTATAGTAGTGTAGTGTATAGTGTATTGTATAGTAGTGTATAGTAGTGTATAGTAGTGTAGTGTATAGTGTAGTGTATAGTAGTGTAGTGTATAGTGTAGTGTATAGTAGTGTAGTGTATAGTCTAGTGTATAGTAGTGTAGTGGATAGTGTATAGTAGTGTAGTATATAGTGTAGTGTATAGTAGTGTAGTGTATAGTAGTGTATAATGTAGTGTATAGTAGTGTAGTGTATAGTATAGTGTATAGAAGTGTAGGCCCTCCATAGAGCCCAATGTTGTGCACTTACCGACCATTCCCTGTTAACGATTGGCTTGCGACGAACACGCGACTATCAATTTCGGCCAATCGGCGAGCTCTATCAATTTCGGCCAATCGGCGAGCTTCGGCCAATCAGCGACGTCCATTCATGACCGTTGGGGCATTGTTTGCAATAGGTTATCTGATGCGTTTTGAAGTTAAAACATCTCTTGGATTCTTGGTGTATTTTGACTTTAAACTTTAATTAAATCAATAAGCACGGCTCCCAAAGTGCTCGCAAATAAAGACAAGAAGGTGAGGAAGACAATTAGTGTTTTAACCAAGAAATAAGTAATTGATAAACATGAAAGAGGTGTAAATATAGGTGCGCTGAGTAAGTGAATATGGCCTGCCCTTGTTTAACGACCAAATCACTTAATGACCGGTTTCGTGGAACCAATTACCGTCGTTAAGAGGGGTTCTACTGTAGTTCACAGCGCTGGTCGATTCTATGCCCCCCCCCCCCCCCCACGCCACCAGCCTATTAAAATTGTACAAATCACACACTGACTAAAACCATCGGGAACCATACTCGAGTGGTACTCTGGCCCCAACTTCCAAAAGCGTGTTTTTGTATTGCATATCTGCATTTCCCATAAATATGCCAAATTCCTCTTGATATGCAAATTATTTTGTCAAGGCGCTCTTCCCCCTCCATCCCAGCATAAATAGTCGCTCCAAGCCTGGGGCGTGCCATTCAGACTCTGTCTACTTGACAGACCTGTTCTCCACCTGAAGACGGCTGCTTGCGTTGTGGCCGAAACGTCGTGAGAATTATTTAATTATAATTTATTTTTTATTATTTTATTATTTTCCTTCTACGTGACTTTACCGAAAGAACCAAGACGATTTGTATTTTTTGTTGTTGTTGTTGGAACGTTCTGACCCCGTGACCCCGGACAGGACACCTGTGCAAAAAGAGATCTATAATCTCATCGGATTCCTCCCGCAGTATAAGTCGAGACTCTGATTCTGACCTTCTGAAGCGTGGCTGGGCCCCCCTCACCGCCGACCCCCTGATCCCACACCCCCCCCCTTCTCCCCCGTGACCTCTCACCTTGTCCCGCACGTTCTGCCGCACGCGCTCCCGCTCCGCCTCCATCTTGGCATGCTTCTGCTTGCGCTCCTCCTCCTGCTGCCGCAGCGCCTCCCTCCGATCCTCCTCCTTCTTCTGCGCTTCGGGGTCCTTCTCCGCCTGGTCTCCTCCGAGCATCTTCCCCACGTCCTTCGTGGCGCCTGCACCGCACCGGACCGCACCACACATCACCGCACCACGCATCACCACACATCACCGCACCGGACCGCACCACACCGCACATCACCACGTCACACATCACCACACATCACCGCACCGGACCGCACCACGCATCACCACACATCACCGCACCGCACATCACCACACCGCACCGCATCACACATCACCACACATCACCGCACCGGACCGCACCACACATCACCACATAGCACCGCACCGGACCGCACCACACATTACCACACATCACCGCACCAGACCGCACCACACATTACCACACATCACCGCACCGGACCGCACCACACATTACCACACATCACCGCACCGGACCGCACCACACATTACCACACATCACCGCACCGGACCGCACCGCGCATTACCACACATCACCGCACCGGACAGCACCACACATTACCACACATCACCGCACCGGACCGCACCGCGCATTACCACACATCACCGCACCGGACCGCACCACACATCACCACACCGCACCGCATCACACATCACCACACATCACCGCACCGGACCGCACCACACATCACCACACCACACCGCACAACACATCACCGCACCACACCGCACCGCGCATTACCACACATCACCGCACCGGACCGCACCACACATCACCACACATCACCGCACCGGACCGCACCACACATCACCACACATCACCGCACCGGACCACACCACACATTACCACACATCACCGCACCGGACCGCACCACACATCACCGAACCGCACCACACATTACCACACATCACCGCACCGGACCGCACCACACATTACCACACATCACCGCACCGCACATCACCGCATCACACCGCCGCAAAAGGGGGCGACGGTGATCGTGGCCCGTACGATAAACACCGCCGATGAGTCGGCTGCGTACGGCCCGGAAGAATTTCAACATCCATACGCGCACGCACTATGTATAAATTTATTTATTTATTTCAGAAGCCTGTCCCACCGTTTCCCAGTTGAGAAACAACTGCGCAAGTTTCTCAAATCCCTCCTCGGCCACTCTTTCTCTCTCTCTCTCCGAAGTTCGGCAATCGGCAGAATCGCTTGTGGTGGGGTAAAGTGTGGGCGCTCCCAAATTCTTCCAAGACGTCTGGCCAGCGTGGAACGAGTAAGAGGACAATGAACGCTTCAGAGATGCCTCTCCTTGGAGGATCCTTCCGATAGCAGTGACGACGAGATGTTGACTACCTCACCTGGTATACAGGAGGATTGTGGGTTCGATCCCGACCACGACGCCTGCTGCTGTATATTTGGAGGTTGCGTGTCTCTCTCTCTCTCTCTCCCGTGGTCGCTTGGATTTTTCTCCGGATCCTCCGGTTTTTCCCTCCACATTTAGAATCAACATCACGCGTTTAGAGTATTTGGCTGCTATAATTTTGCACGTGATAAGCCACTTCGTTGAGCTGTCATTTGTGGCCTGGTCGCTTCTAAAAAAGAACTACACAGCTCAGTGGGCCTTACCTGATAAAATGAAATAGTTAAGCTAACAATTGCAGAGCTGCACCTTTATCTAGTATGATTTTACACCGGCCTGCATCATTCACCGGTGTGAATCATTCACTCGCTTCAATCAATCACTGGATTCAATAATTCACTGCCTTGCATCATGCACCGGCTTGAATCATTCATCGGCTTGCTTCATTCGTAAGCTTACACAATCCACTGACTTTAATCATTCACTGGCTTAAATCAATCCCTGGCTTAAATCATTCACTGGCTTGAATCATTCACCGGCTTGAATCATTTCCCGACTTGCACCATTCACCGACATCGAATCATTCGCCGGCTTGCTAACAACAAAGCTTCGCTCTGTACACACAAAAAAAAACCTCCCGTTGCTCATCATTTTCCCAGGACGCAATCTTAACTCGCTTCGCCGCGGTGTGAGAAGAGCTAACGAGCTGTTGTGAACCACGCGTCTCGGGTCTTGTTTGGTGGCCGCTCATTCGGGGGGAGGGGTGCCGCTAACGAACGACCCAGCACGACCAATGGAACTTGTCGCTGCGGACACTAATAGGCAGATGTCCCAGCTATCGCGCGCTCTCCATACAAACTACAAATCGCTCAATTAAACAGCATCGGCGCTGCCACGTGAGTTTTACCGTTCGTGAGCCTCATGCACATTGACAGTTCATTTATTTAGAAACTGAAATTTTTTTTTGGTGGGGGGCATTAATTTGTAGTAATTTCACCCGTACCTCCGATGTTGCACTGTTGGATACGTACGTGCGGTGCGAAAATAAGTTGAACGCACACACGTCACGGTTTCATCAGGCGATTAGCAGAACTGTGAAAATCTCCTTTGCAGGCGCGAGGCTGGAGGAGACGTTCACAAAGCTGGCAACCGGCAAGTGACGGATCGTACGTAAGCCGCTTGTTAAATGTGAGTGGATCGCTGTCCAGCACACCGGGGGTGCTGAAGCGTTCACGATGGGGGTGTTCGTTCACGTGACGACTCTAAAACGTCCAACGTCAATGCGTCCTTACTCGCGTAGAGACCGGGAGTGAGAGATACACAACTTTCGCGACTAAGAGATCAACGGGACTGACCTGGCCATTAAGAACTCCCCCTAAAAGGGTGGAGAAAGACACCCAGCCCTCGTTTCGTACCGTCACTCAAAGACTTTCCGAGGTTACGCGAGCTTCGTGACGTCCTCCGTTTTTATCGTCGTCGCTCCGGTGTTGGCTAAAAGCTCACTCGCCACCTCGATGTGATTGACTCTGTCGGGTGGTGGAGGTTGATTGCTTCGCACATTGACGTGATCCACCACGAGGCGATCTATCCCGGATAGAAACTCATTTGTGCGAATCACAACATTGGTTGTGAAAGGCTCCGTATTGAAAGGAAAATCCGTGGCGGCGCCTCGCGTGACTCATCTGCCAGTTGTGGCGGATGAGTAATGTCACGGGAATTATTATTACGAGAGAAGATAAAAATGCCGTGCCCTCGCGAATGAGATTATTAACCCGCGCTTATCCTTGCGGACGGATATTTTACAACAGCTCTTTTCGGATGAAGGCATGCCCACACTGTGTTCGAGATGGGCGTTTGACCATACTTCACCACCACGGTCAGTCTAGGTTAGAGGTTGGTGAACGGGTGAAAGGAGGCGGAGTGGGGAGGGACCCTGGTGCGGCCGGGTACGGGTAAGGAATCAAAACCCGTTTGCGACCTCTGGTAGTGAGTGCGACCTCCTGCAACGTGCTCGTTTCGGCAACCGGAAGACCAACCAACGCAACTGGGCGGGCGCCGGACGGACGCGGTCGTTGCTGCTTGACGTGGTGCAGCCCCCAGCTAAACCACTGCCCCCACCATAGCCTAGGAAAGAAGCCCCTCTGGACATAATGTATCGTGTTTAATATCACGGGGGAACTCTGCGCTGAAGTGAATTTATTGGCTTGCTCGCGCAACAATGGGGGGTGGAGAGGCCTTCTTGGTGGATGTTAATTATCGCGCTGTCTGGCCCGTACCTTTTGTTTATTTATTCTTTATTTCATTTTTCAATGTGTTGTTTTTTAAAAAGATTTTTTTGTTAAGTTATGCCCTCTGCAAAGGAACGCAGCTTGTCAGCTCGGGCAGAGGTTTTTGAATCACCTAATTGGAAGATTGTTGGGGGTTTTTTTGTCGCGAAAAAAAGGCGCAACGGAACGCTGTCACAGAGCACCAGGCGTGAGCTGCTGCGATCAACGCACGCGGCTCACGGCTCTCCCGTCGCTTCAGAGCCGTGCGGAACAACTGCGTCCGATCGCTGTCCAGCACGCCCGGGGGTGCTGAAGCGTTCACGATTGGGCGTGTTCGTTCGCGTGACGACTCTAAGACGTTCAACGTCAATGCGTCCTTACTCGCGTAGAGAACGGGAGTGAGAGATACACAACTTCCGGGACTAAGGGATCAACGGGACTGACCTGGCCATTATGAACTACCCCTAAAAGGGTGGAGAAAGACAACCAGCCCTCGATTCGTACCGTCACTCAAAGACTTTCCGAGGTTACACGAAGGTCGTGACGCCCCCCGTTTTCATCGTCGTCACTCGGGTGTTGGCTAAAAGCTCACTCGCCTCCTCGATGTGATTGACTCTGTCGGGTGGTGGAGGTTGATTGCTTCGCACATTGACGTGATCCACCACGGGGCGATCTATCCCGGATAAAAACTAATTTCGTCCTTGTCGAGTCAGCCGCATGCTCGAGATGAGGCCGTCGCTCAGCCGCCTTGAACGATGGCGATGGTTGCGAGGGCTGAAATGTCCGTCAATGATCGTGCACTGGTCATTGCTTTGTCTAGTTTTTGCACAAACAACAAAACATTCAACGAGCCCGAAACCGGCGTGGTGCTAGTCTGGTCAAATGAATTCCCATGACCGACGCGGCCTTCGTCCGATAATATCTTTACAAAATAAAATAAGGGCTCATACTGTGACAATAAGTTCGCTCGTTGCTCGTTATATTGATTGAATGTGTTACGCGCACCGCGAAATATAATAATCATAATAATAATGATGATGAATGGGACCCAAGACTATTTTTTAAGGAGGGTCCTGCTGCGTTGAGATGTTTGCTCTGTCCCATGAATGGATAAGCACCGCGCCCTGCCGCCTTTGTCTCCCCCCAGTGGCGATGTTTAACTACACACCGCACCCAGGTACTCATTTGAGGCTGAGTCGATCCAGGAGGGGGGGGGGGAGTTGTGCCCAGGACCGGTTCAGATAATCGTCACCGGTGTTGGCCACGAGCGGCAATCGATTTCGGTGTCGCCGGGTTCGTAGTGCGGCGCGCTAACCGCTGCGCCACCGCTCCCCGCAAAGACAGACAGACAGACAGACGCGCCACACGCGCGCACGAGACTCTACCTCCCAGGGCTTGTTTCATGACGAAGTCCATGGCCGTGCGATGGGTGGTGTCCAGTCAGGGAGCAGCACAATGGCACATGCAGTCGGGGAGTACGAAGCTGGTTTGCTGCAACAACAACAACAACAACAATTATAAACACGCGCATACACAGATCACAGGCTGATTAGCAATCAAGATTAGCAATCAACAATTAGCAATCACGATGACTTCTCCTGCACTTTCACACACACACACACACATAGACACCCGTATGGCAGGGATTAAGCACTTGCTTTGTTGAGAACAGCAGCAGATGTATGAATGCAATGATGTCCCGTGTTCTTCAAGCCATCTGTTCAACAGCACTGCTTGTCAACTGGGCTTCATTTCTGCCGTCGATATTTTCCGAAACGCCGAAGGGGCTTGACTGACCTTGCGAGATGGGACCGCCGGCGTAAGGCACTACCACTAGAGAGTGCACGGTACGATCGATGCATGGCAATGCCATATTCACGAGGACGAAATAGGCGTCACGAGGACAAAAGTACGGAGAACATGTGTTTACTTTGAATTTAAAAAAATGTGGATTCAACGCTCTCGAATGCCCTATTTGAAATATGAACAAACACGTCACCTTACACGAATACGCGTGTACATGTTTAATTAAATTATTTCTCAAACACTGAAGCGTCCAATTTTCAGTGAGTTATTTATTAATGTTTTACGTCAAACAAGCGTGGGATTACATTGAGGGGAAGAATAATAACACGTGGATTAGAGAACACGCACGCAATGTTCAATGACGCAATTCAAAGCGTTAGGATAGGCGAGTTAGGCTCGCGGCAGGGCTGGTCACGAGACGTGATGATGGTCAACGCTGATAAACCAGAATCTTCATTGAGACTGCAGGAGGAGGAAGCTCGCTTTATTTTCCCCACAGACGTCCAGTCTGGGCACGGGGGTGAACGAGCAGCAACAGCAACAAACAATGCACAAAAAACTACAAACAGTACACAAAAACTACAAACAATACACAAAAAACTACAAACAATACGCAACAAATAACAAAAATACACAACAAACAATACACACAAAAACAATACACCACAAACACTATGCACAAAAACAACAAACAACGCACAAAAACTACAAACAATACGCAAAAAACAACAAAAATACACAACAAACAACAAACAATACGCAACAAAAAATACGAAAAAACAACAAACCCCGATAGGAGTGCAAAGTAGAGAAAACGCTCAGCAAGGCGTAACATACAAACACACAATGAGCCGCAATTCATGACGCAAGTCCGATTCATGAAGGTTTGGGCAAGGCAGCAAAACCTCCGACAAAAGGGTCCCAGACCACAGCGAGACAAACACAGCAGCATCCGCAGCAGCAGCAGCAGTAGTCCCTCGCTCATGGTGGAGTGGCAGCCGAGGAACGGAACGCGTCCCGGTGGACATTCAGCCAGGAGACGGAGCGGTGAAATCAGTTCACGCGCAGATGTCACATCATCGCAAGATCACGCGAGGTGTGGGGGGGGGGGTGGCTTGACGAGGCCTTCATCCAGCAGTGGATCGAGCACAGATGACGCCGACGAAGCGCCCGTTTCATTCGTGGTAAAATTAAAAACATTACGAGGAAGATCACTGCACGATCATAGCTGAATTGAAACATCTATCTCGCCCGACGCCAGAAGCGCATCGGTGTAATAGCACTTTAGATTTTCTTCAAATAATTTCCACGAATATTTTAAGAAGCGGCGGTGTTGCAGAGAATAGTTGTGCCCCACACATTTTCTTCCGCGAAATGCGGGGTCCTCTTTGTGGCATGACAGGACGTGACCTCACCTGGCAAAAGGAGGCCAAAAACAACTTCTCGAATTGGTATTCAGGATTTGCAATGCAAGCAATCCTATTTTCTCGTGTGACTTGACAGCCAATTACAGATTCTGTTAACTCTAAATTATAAATGAATTATGCGTAAATAGTAATGACGAATTTATTATTTATGATACGAATTAAAAGTGACAAATTCTAATTTTTTCATTTACAATTAAAATCATCGTCACCACCACCAGCACCATCATTGTCATCTATATTTGAAGCTTTCGTGACTGCAAGGATTCATACTCTTAGTTTTTTCGGTAAAGTCACGTAGGTAAAAAAAAAATGAAATTAAAATTAATAAAAATAAAATTATAAAAATCACAACACAAGTCTCCGTCATCAGGTGGGACCGTCACAGCCAGATTTGCTGTATCAAGTGAGGCTGAGTCGACCTGATACAGCAAATCTGGCTTTGACGGTCCCACCTGATGACGGAGAATTGTGTTGCCTCCGAAACGTCGTGATTTTTATTATTTTATTTTATTAATTTTAATTTCATTTTTTTACCTACGTGACTTTACCGAAAGAACTAAGAGTATCATTGTCATCATTTCTCACGATGGCTCCACTCCCTGATTGAGGCCCGGTCCCGAAACGACGTGCCACCACCGCTCACCGTCCCAGCGGTGCAGCAATCCCCGTGATATGCTACAGTTCGATTTCAATCGGTAGGTTATTAATAAAGTTACCGAAATGTGTCAGGCCCGCCTCGCTGTTTTCTCCCTTCCCACGTGTCGCGGGAGATGCGACTCGACAAATCAAACTAAACATCATCATCATCATAACTAGATTGGAAGCTTTCGTGACTGCAGGAATTCGTCTTTGGTTCTTTCGGTAAAGTCACGTGTAGAAAGAAATAAAATTAAATAATAATAGCATACGACGTTTCGATGGCGACACGAGCAACCATCATCAATGAGCCTTCGCACGCACGTATTCTATTATTATTCTTCTTGGTTCTTTCGGTAAAGTCACGTAGAAGGGAAACAATAAAATAATAAAAATACAACATAATAAATAATATACTATAAGAAAATATTTTTATTATTTTATTATTTTTATTATTTCCCTTCTCCGTGACTTTACCGAAAGAACCAAAGAATCATCATCATAATCGTCTCGTCTCGCGGCCTCAAAGTTCAAAGTTCATGTATTAGGTATAGCCCTGTGAGCCATTCGGCTCTTGAATCGGGTGCAACCGCAACAAACAAAAAACAAAAAAACGAACAAGAAAACATCTTAAAGTGACTATGTGCAAACAGAAAATCCAAGAAAAGACAGCAAAATATTGCAGAAAAATCACCGTACACCAACACTGTGACGTTCTTAGTCGCCAGTTAAACGTTGCAGAGCATTCGCACGCGCGCTCGTTTCGTGGCCATTTGTCGTTGTCGTTGCTTGCTCGAGTTTTGTTTAATCTTTCTTGTCGGGGTGGCTCGCAATTCTCGCCGCCGCAATCGTCTCGGCAGCCACCGTGGACGGACGAAGAAGACCTCGGGCCGGAGAGGGAGGGCCCGGGGGTAGAGGGGAGGGGGGGGTGCCATGGAGGAACCGCAGACGAGCCACTTAATTCGGACCCCTGCCGAGTGGCAGATAACCCATTAAGGGGACGGTTGATTGTGCGTCCCGTGGCCTCGTTGGGTCTCAGCGCCCTTGATAGCCAACGCAGCCGTGCCCACGGCTTCCGTCGGAGCCACACGGGGAAACGTGGTATCTCGTCGTAAGGCTCCGTCGGTGAACATCGATCTTGCGAATTTGATCGTTATCCACGCGTGCACGCGCGTGTCTTGTTAAAGAGGCGATGACTCTCAGGGAGGAACGGTGGGGGGAGGAGGTCGCATTTGGTTAAATCAAGGGTCCGCTGCCTTGATGGCCGCATGATATGCACTCCTGGCAGCGGTGGCTTCGTGTGGATTTACCTGAGCGTACACATTGGATCGCATCTCAGGGGCGTAATGATTCTACACACAGAGAGAGGAAAGAGAGCCTATGGGAGCCTATGTGCGTCTGTGGTGTCTATGCGGGTCTGTGGGTCTCTACGTGAGTCTGTGGGTGTCTATGCAGGTCTGTGGGTCTCTATGTGAGTTTGTGGGTGTCTATGCAGGTCTGTGGGTCTCTATGTGCGTCTGTGGGTGTCTAAGTGGGTCTATGGGTCTCTATGTGCGTCTGTGGGTGTCTATGTGGGTATATGGGGTCTATATGTGAGTCTGTGGGTGTCTATGTGAGTCTGTGGGTATCTATGCGGGTCTGTGGGTCTCTACGTGAGTCTATGGGTCTCTCTGTGAGTCTATGGGTGTCTATGTGCGTCAGTGGGTGTCTATGCGGGTCTGTGGATCTCTATGTGCGTCTGTGGGTGTCTATGCGGGTCTGTGGGTCTCTACGTGAGTCTGTGGGTGTCTATGTGAGTCTGTGGGTATCTATGCGGGTCTGTGGGTCTCTACGTGAGTCTATGGGTCTCTCTGTGAGTCTATGGGTGTCTATGTGCGTCAGTGGGTGTCTATGCGGGTCTGTGGATCTCTATGTGCGTCTGTGGGTGTCTATGCGGGTCTGTGGGTCTCTACGTGAGTCTGTGGGTCTCTATGTGAGTTTATGGGCATCTATGTGAGTCTGTGGATCTTCGTGCAAGTATGTGGGTCTCTATGCGAGTCTATGCTAATATAATCGGTACTTACATTGTATAAGGGCTGTCGGTTATCGCAGTGAAACAAGGCCGTAATTATAATATATATTCAGTTCGATATCAAAATGTCCCCGTCCCCCCCCCCCCCAATATATTGCGATTAAATATATTTCTGTTTATATGATGGTGGTTATGGTTGTACTTTATAAATCCCTAATCTCTGCCATTACATCCTATGAAACAAGAAAAGGTAAAAACTAAAAAACAGAGCAATGTAATACAATACACTATTAGACATTATTGTTGAAAAAAAAAAGTCCATCCTATGTGTTAGTGAATTTTTGTTATATTTTTGGCAGGAAATTCGTTTTCAAATTTAGATTTTTTTTCTGGGGGGGGGGGGGGGGCCCAGACCCCCTGGAAGATTTGGTCCCCCCCCCAATGTTGACTCCATGGCTACGGCCTTGCAGTGAAAAGATACAATTCTGGAGTGGTGGGGGGGGGGGGGCAAACGTTGTGAATGTCAGTGTGGATGCGTCCTCTAACAGTTGTGTATGAGTACAGACTGTTACTCCTAGGTCTTTTCGGTAAAGTCACGTAGGTAAAAAAAA